TGAGCCTGACAGATGACACCGACCTGATAACGAGATCTGAGATTGCCGAGTTCCACGACAATTTAAATAATGAGTTACTTAATGCACAAAGGCAGAACATACCATACAAAAAACTCAGATCAGACAACAATGACCCTAAGTGGATAAATAATTATTTAAAGAACATCATTGGCCAAAGGAAGGCTATAGGTAGAAGGATAAATCGTGGCGAAATTTACCTCCGGGATTATTATAGGGTATTGGCGAGTAGGGTTAAAACCGAGATAAGGAAAGCCAAGAGGAATAATGAGGTAAGGATAGCAAGGGAGGCGAAGACAAACCCCAAAGGATTCTACCAAATGTATCAAACTAAAACACGAGAAAAGATTGGACCAATACGGTCAGATACCGGCGAGCTCACTGATAACGACAGAGAAATGAGCAATAATTTGAATAAATATTTTTCTACAGTTTTCACCACCGAAAATTTAAACATGATACCCGGGGCACCGACTCTATTCAGAGATAGTGAAGAAAACAAATTTAGCGAGATAGTAGTGACTAGTAATGATGTTAGTAAGCAAATAGACAAACTAAAGCCAAATAAGTCACCTGGTCCCAATGAGATATTTGCCAGAGTATTAAAGGAATGTAAGGAAGAGCTTAGTATGCCCTTAGCAAAGTTGTTTAACGTCCTTAAAAACAGGTGTAGTACCAGAATCCTGGAGGATAGGGAATGTAATACCGATTTTCAAGAAGGGGGATAGATCACTATCCTCTAACTACCGCCCAATCAGTCTAACATCAATAGTAGGCAAATTACTGGAAGCAATCATTTCAAACTCTATTCGAAATCACCTGGAGAAGCACCGATTGATCAATGATTCCCAGCATGGCTTCACAAGCGGACGTTCATGTCTAACTAATCTATTAACATTCTTTTCATCAGTTTTCGAATCGGTGGACGAGGGGCACAATTATGATGTGGTATATCTCGACTTTAGCAAAGCCTTCGACAGAGTCCCCCACGAAAGACTAATTAGAAAGGTAGAAGCACATGGCATCAAAGGTAATATCCTTAAATGGATTAGGGCGTGGTTACAGGACAGGAAACAGCGAGTGAGCATTAATGGCACTAAGTCCCATTGGAGCAACGTCACAAGTGGAGTTCCCCAAGGCTCAATACTTGGACCATTATTATTTATTATATACATAAACGACATAGACATCGGCATAGACAGCAACATAAGTAAATTTGCTGATGACACTAAAATAGGACGTGTTATTAAATCTGACGAGGACTCAGCAAAACTACAGGAAGATCTAAACAAATTTTTCGAATGGTCTGAAAAATGGCAGATGAAACTCAACGTGGACAAATGTAAAGTACTCAGTATAGGAGATGTAAACAGGGAAACCAGATACCAGATGAACAACGATGCCATAGAGAAATCCGACTGCAAGAGAGATTTAGGAGTAATGATAAGTAGGAACCTTACGCCAAGTAAACAATGTGTTTTTGCTCATAACAAGGATAATAAAGTACTTGGGTTCATACAAAGGAGTGTTAGTTACAAGACTAGCGAGGTCATCCTGAAACTGTATCTTGCTCTTGTGAGACCACACCTGGATTACGCAGTTCAGTTCTGGTCACCGTATTACAGAATGGAAATAGAATCCTTGGAAAGAATTCAGAGGAGAATGACAAGACTAATCCCGGGCATTAGGAACCTTGAGTATAGAGACAGTTAAAGCATCTTAATTTGCACTCCCTCGAGAGACGTAGAGCGAGGGGCGACCTGATAGAGGTGTATAAGTGGAAGGCAGGGCTAAGCAAAGGGGACATTACAAAGGTACTCAAACTATCCAACCAGGAGCGAACTCGTAACAATGGTTTTAAATTAGACAAATTTAGATTTAGGCAGGAAATAGGTAAACACTGGTTTGGAAACAGAGTAGTGGATGAATGGAACAAGTTACCAAATATCATCATTAACTCGAATACGCTGAATAGCTTCAAACATAGGTTGGATGCTTATATGAGCAATAGGGGTTGGGTGTAAACGGGACTGCCCAGTATGGGCCAATAGGCCCGCTGCAGTTTCCTCCATTCTTATGTTCTTACCATAATTCAGACTATACAGTGGGTACCGTAAGTCCGTATAAGAACTAAAAGTCAGTCAGTGTGTGCAGTAGATCAGTCAACCTTTACAGTGTACAAATCAGTCATAACAGTGAGTATGAGTCAATCTACACAGGACATGGTTGTAAGGAGGATGAACACAGCCACCAGAAAGATTGGCCAAGAGAAGCAAGTATTTACAGAATGCGGATAAACAGTATTAATATCTTCATGAATTAGTGTGATTGGACGTCGGAAAGGAAGCGGGGGGAGGGGGGGAGTTGTAAAGGTTGACTATGATCTATGATAAGTACTGTATCCGATTAAAAATGTTAGCATGATTTTTTTAAACTTCTGATACGTGTATATAAAGCTCTAAGGTATATTTAAAAAAAATCTTAGTATATTTGCACTAATTCAAATAACAGGTCATTGTGAATTTACCCGGATATCATCGAACTCCCTCGTGTTTCTAGGAAGTCTTATCGCCTTATCACTATGTACTTTAATTTATCTTCATTTACACTGGTGTCTCGAGTCATCGGATTTGCTCTTCTCTCCTATCCATTTTCCTCGTTTCCACGTTCACTGAGGGAATAATACTTCTCGGTTGCTTGTCTGCTACTTTCTGTTGTTGTGTATACTGGGTCAATATACACAACAGTGACACCATCCTAATATAAACATAATACGGTTACCCCTTAACACAAAACACCAATGTGGGTCTTCAAAATGGGATTTCACAGTTCCTCTAAACTTTAAAAGAGTTCTATACTGAGCCTGGCTATAGTGGTTAGGCTATCTTGCACACGTTATCGGGGGTTGTTTCTGCAAGGGGGTACTTGATCGAGTTGCTGGGGGTCAACGGAAATCGACACCACGTAAACACCCAGTAAATACTAGTTACCAAAACACAGCTAATTATACCTAGGATTTAAAACCTTTCACAGCCATACTCAAAGGTACACTGTTCACCTGTGACGCCTCTACACACACAACTGACGCCAATATACACCAATGACTGCCTCTGTAATTATGTTCTCGTATCCCTTAAGCCTCTCCTGATTCTAGGGATCAGTGCCTCACTATCGCACCAGAACTCTTTATTGTCTTTCGAGTCCAGAAACAATGGCATTCCACGGGATTTGGACGACCGGGGTTAAGCAGTCAGGAGAGGCCGCCGTGAGGCATACAACAGTGTTTTATGTTTACGTCCGGAAGTCTATTAACACACTTATACAATTATCGTACACGTATCAGTTGGTTTTATGACAAAGACTGTTAAGATAAATTTTTTTTCAGGAGTTAAACTGTTAAATGCATATTTGAATTTGTTAGCTAACCCGTTTTAGGTCTGACAGCTCGGAGTATAAAACATACGTGTCGTTACGTATTAGTTTTGGTGGCTCTGGGTCATCTCAGTGGCGAAGGCGTTAAATTTCTGCGCTTGTATGGGTCTGTATTGTATAGGGCAAATTTCACCTTATTGCATGTTTACTAAAACGTCAGTTCTCCGACAATATCAGGGCGCGGAGTAAAGGAAGATCAAGCATGTTGGGTCGTTCTCTCATATACCCTCCCTCCTACTCTTTCACACACATACTGTACCTTTCATTCTCTCATACACTCCTTCATTCTCTCATGCACTCCTTCATCCTCTCTTCCACTCACCCAACCCATTTCTCTCTATCTCTCACAAACATTCTCCCACCCTTTCTCTTATACGCACCCGCCCCCTCTCACACGCACTACATTTGAATAATTTAAGCCCCGATAGATCAGATCACAACGCCATATAGGTCTCTTAAGTTCATCCAGTCCGCGTGAGTTAGTACAACAAGTGTTATCTTATCAAGAACGTGGTGGTCTCAGGCGTCTTGCCAAACAACCTCTGTTGGCTGTCTATTGGCCAAGCGGCCAAGCCTCAAGTGGCGGCGACGACAACCTACCGCCCCCATGACATTTATTTAAAGTGGACTAATTTAATTGATTACTGTGAAAATTGTGGAATTATTTAAGAGATTTTAAAACTTTTACAAATGAATTTTGAGGCGGATTAGCCGATTATATTATTGAACATAATCGTCAACAGTGGACCGACTTCCTCGAGATCAAGATGGGATAATTTTTCCTCTGATCAGATATTACTGATTAATAAAGAATTTTAACTAAAGTTGATTAATTTGATCACCTGAATATTCCCCCTTCACAACTTATTTCACAACAAGATTAACCTCAATAGCGTTAGGGTTGTTAATCTTCTGGTGAAATTATCTGGGGACGAATATTCAAGTGATCTGACTAATTTTATCATCCTTTACCCTCAATCGAACCTTGGGAGTCCTTGGTAAGAGTTTATAATTATAGTTTATACCCATCTCTTCCACACATAATTATTTCCTTCCCTTTCAATCCAACCCAGAAATTCCTTCGTGAAATTTCATGTGTTTTTCACTCTTTACTTCACACACCTTCAGCGAAGCCTCGAACTATTTTTCGAAACAAACTCCACCAACTCAAATACACACCACCCCTGTAACCTTTAGTGAAGCTTCGAACTATTTCTCGACACTATCTCCATCTATAAACGCGCACACATTTTCAGGCCACTCAGATCTCCGACCCTCTGAAAAGAATTCTTCCTTTCAAGCCAGCCTCTGAAACTAGGTGTTGGGAGTTTCAAATACACCCACATCTCTTCATGACACAACCAATTTCCTCCATCAAGCCACGGCACGAAGTCCCCCAAGAGGTGCTTGACAGCTCTGGGTGGGAATATGGCAGCCGTGAGTGGGGTCTGGCAGCCCTGGGTGAAGGTCTGGCAGCCCTGGGTGAAGGTCTGGCAGCCCTAGGTGAAGGTCTGAGCCCTGAGTGGGTCTGACAGGACGCAAATACTCACCTCGAGGTAGCCAATGGGGCTGGGGAGTGGGTAATCCCCCAGAGGTCTCTCCTCATCCAGGAACTTGCCGGCGCGACCATTCTGGGGTGGGCAGAAGAGACCGTAGTTGAAGCTCTCCCGGAGTTCCTGTCGTGGATACAGACGCGGGTTAAATACAGGAGGCGAGATAATCGTGGTAACACAAGTGGGATCAACCAGGGTACAAAATATAAAGGAAGGAAGGCGATAGATACGAACCAGAGTTAGATACGGGGTTAAATAACATGGGGGAGGAACATACGTGGGCACAAAAGAGGGGTCGGATAAGGTAAGAGATCCAACCTTGGGTTATAAGCGACGACCTCCAGTGTAAGAGGAAGATCATGGGCATCTCACACGAGGGAAAGGGATTGATGTAATTGTGGATCAGAGACAGAGTTGGGTCCGTAAGGTTGTATAATAAAAGGGGGAAGTGGCGCACTGTCCCCACCACAGATAAACACGAATGAGACACAAACAAGGATGTAAAAGAAGGGGAAAGGAAGAGATAGAAAGAGAAATTATGAATATTCAACAATAAAAAAAATAGGAAAAAGCTAACAAGATATATTCACATTTTTCAGAATATTAGTGAACTTTTCCAGAATGACTTTGAGCTAAATATAAATAAAACACGTCAATGTTACTGAGAGGGCGTGAAAGAGAGATAAGAAAGAGTGAAAGGGAGATACGAAAGAATGAAATAGGAAAATGAGATAAAATACAAGCAAAAATGTGAATTCAGGGATAAATATAAAGAAAGTGAGAGAAAGTCAAGCTGAAATGTATAAAAACGAGGGGAAGTCAAGCTGAAATGTATAGAAAACGAAAGGAAGTCAAGCTGAAATAAATAGAAAACGAGAGGAAGTCAAGCTGAAATGCATAGAAAACGAGAGGAAGTCAAGCTGAAATGTATAAAATACTAGAGGAAGTCAAGCCGAAATGTATAGAAAACGAGAGGAAGTCAAGCTGAAATGTACAGAAAACGGAAGAGGTATTTACTTACAAGTCTAATACACATGACGGATAGAGAGAGAGAGAGAGAGAGAGAGAGAGAGAGAGAGAGAGAGAGAGAGAAGGGAATGGTAAGGGAAAACGGTGTAGGGGAGAGAAAAAAGACAGATTATGAAAAAGACGAGAGCGAGAGAGAGAGAGAGAGAGACGTCAAAGGCATGTTCCCAACAGTCTCGTTTATCATCTCTCTCTCTCTCTCTCTCTCTATTTATCCAACCTTTCCTTCACGCACATTCCTTTACACCATACACCTGTCTACCCTCATTTACCTGATTTCTGTACTACCTATTCTTTACTAATTAACTGTTCCCTAATTACTAACTCACCTGTGATAATTTTACACAAGATATTAATTCCAGTGATTTCTACTAAATACCTGTTCTATGTTAACTACTGTAATAACCATTTGCTACTTCTTTTTCTGCTAGTTAATAAATCTCTTAACTAATCTGTATTAACCAACTTACTATTCTCTGCTATTTATTCCATATTAACTCACCATTGGTCTACTTACTATTGTGTATTGGCTAACACTTCTGTATTAACTATTAGGTACTAGTTGCACATTGCCCTAACTATTCTGAACTATTTTTCTCTCCCGGTACTAACTCACTCACCCGGTATTAAGTAACTCTTCTTTACAAATCCTCACAAACCATTGCCACCCATAATAATTTCACCTCGTACAAGAAACACACACAGACAGCTTGATAAATACATGAGAGGGCGGTGAAGATGATGGTAAGCCTTGAGCAACAGAGAAGTGACAGACAGATGATAATAATAGGCGGCGCTAAAGCAAACGATAGCAGATGTATATGCTAAGTTGCAACAGCTCAAGCCATGGATAGCAAAATAAAAAATAAATAAAGATAAGGCAAAACGCGCTAAATATCACATCTAGATAACAAGCAACAATGCCAATTACGAAAATATGAAAGACAATTAGTAATTTTAAAGTTATTTTGTTGCGCGTACATTTTTTGGTTTACGTTTTTGTATCGCAAGTTGTCTACACATCGAATTTTTTTTCCTCGTCACAATCAGTTATCCCTTTAAGCTGTATAATGTACCGAAGCATATTGTATCTTGTATGATGCCCACCGTAAAATACACCAGTGTAGTGTATCATCACGATATAGTGCATTACATCATTGTTTACGCTAAAATTTAATATCGTAACTCTAGACAGGATAATGCGTGTCTCTCGGTTACATTGCGTCGCCCTTTTGAATCAACGTTGTGGTGTCGGGGTGAATGTGTGACAATAATCATCTCGTCTGTTCAGTATCGGGGGGAGAAAAATTATCAGGAGAATTTTTTGAGAATGAGAGAAAAGAGAGCGATGTTTTGTAGTGGTTCAGATACAAGTCCCGAGAGCCCTGTCATGTTCCTCTTATCTCACTCTCGTTCGCTCTCTTTTTATTTTCTTCTTCAACCTCTTTCTCGTCCTGGAACTCTCTCTCTCTCTCTCTCTCTCTCTCTCTACTTTCACTCCCCTTTCCTCCACCTTTTTCACTAGAAACTTTCTTCTTCTCTATTCTCGTAATTCTCCGTTCTCTCTCATTTTCCGTCTCCTCTTCCATACCCTCCTCCTCCTCCTCGTGACTACAGTACCATCCTCAGTCTCTCTCAGTCAATCTGGGAAGAACAGGAGTCTCTGTGCAACACCGACGCCATCTTGACTACCACCCTGTCGTGTAGTGAAAAACAACATTTGTAAACAGTTCTCAAAGAAGGACCGAAAATGCCCCATCAATATGAACAAGTTTACGAAACCTCATAAGTTACATAATGGTGGTGGTGTTATGATGAACGTGTGATGCATTACCTAACATAAGGAGGTGAATTAATAACATTGCGCATTTATGACTTCATTCTGTATCGTGTCGGGAGTACTGTTCGGTGTGGAAGTGGCGCGGTGTGTGGAGCTCTCAAGGGATGCTGAGTTAATGAAGAAATGCTTTAAGTGGGCTTTATGTAGGTCATCGAGTCACTTATCAGATGTACAGTCAGAGGAGTAATTGCTACCCCCCTCCTCCTCTAGTAGTCGGAGCCACGGCAAGTGAAGGCCTGGCGATCGGACAAACCCTTCTCCCGCCCCGCCTAAACGTTGCTGGGTAATTTTGGAACTATCATGGCTGGCGATGTTGCATTGTGTTAATATCGGCTCTCTCTCTCTCTCTCTCTCTCTCTCTCTCGGCACAACATATGAGCGTTATCAACAAACCTCCATATATATCACAAGAGAAAGACAGAACGAGGCACAGTGCCACATGACGTAACAACCAGCAACAGCCCAGCCCAGCCCAGCCAGCCAGTCAGGTTAAGTGGTTCATACCGTCGACTGATAAAGATACACTGTTGTTGTAACGCGCCATCACCTGTGTCTTCCATCCTCTCGTGTTCTCTAGGTATGGCTATCAGTGAACTCCAATTCACGAAATATTTACTGAGAGAGAGAGAGAGAGAGAGAGAGAGAGAGAGAGAGAGAGAGACTCACAGCCAGCCAAACAGAGGAATGAAGGTCGGGGAAATAATTAGTGAAGAAACAGGAGGAAGAAGAGGAAAGAGGAAGAGAATAATCAGGAAGCTACACAAGGGTATCACACCTGGACAAGTGGAACTCCAAAGCTAAGTGTTGTTGTACCTGCCGAGGGGAGTTATTACTGGTACGAGGGGACACGGGTGAGTAGAGGACGAGGGGAGACAGGTGAAGGGAACCAGGCGAGGGGACAGGTGAGTGGAGGGCGAGGGGAGACAGGTGAGAGGAAGACGAAGTGGGGTGGGGTGGGAAGGAGGAGAGAGGGGATGGGGCCGAGGAAGGGAGAAAGATGGGGATGAGGGAGGGAGGGAGAGAAGGAAGATGGAGGGAGGGAGAATACCTGCAAGTCGCCAGTCATGGGGGGAAATTAACACCTGAATAGTTGACTACCATTCGTCTGCGGTTCAGGTCCAGGATACTCAAAGGACCAAAAGTTGAATCGTCCTCGTAAAAGATGTAAGAACGCATCCAGCTGCTTGACTTGACGGCACCGGAATTACAGAGACTAACATGATGAGACACACTCACTAAGCACACCAGTTAAGAGAAAAAAAATACATCGTATACCATTGACTAGTTACGTTCATTTAGCATCAGTTAAGGGGAAAAAATAACATTTATCACGACCCTGAGTGACGGGAGACAGGTAGTGTGTGGTGAATGACAACAAACAGGTGTGCCTGGGTCCCACCACACACCAATTCCACCTGTACGTCAACACACACTAACGGGACCACCTCAGTACTGCCTCCGCCAGAACCTGACTTATGGATTCACACACACACACACACACACACACACACGTACGTCTCGAAAGTGTTCTCTGGTGAAGGCGAAGTTTGGAAAGCATAAAAAAAAATCCACAGAAGCGTCATTTGAGAGCAACGTGGCGTAAAAACAAACCGTCTTGTATCCTCTGGGAAACAGAGAGCTATTGTCATGAGCGTACGAACTTTGCGAAGACAATGTTCTCTTATTTACCAGGGAGAAATTAACCCAATTTTCGCATTTATGTGTATCTCTTTTTTTTATTAATTAGGTGAACAAGAATAATACTAAAACACTTTCTCCTGCGACATGAGGTTCCACCTCCTTGTGTTACTCGGTGAAACTCTCGATTCATCTCCCTGTGTTGCTCGGTAAAAATCCCGATTCCTCTCACGTTCACAACTTCACAGTTCAATAACACCGCCAACTTCCGCATCTCTCCAGGGAAGGTCAACAGCATTTCTTCCTCCTTGACACTGATTAACTAATGGCACAAGAAACTGTTCCTTAATCCCACATTAGCGCAACCATCCCTCTGGTCCATCTGCCACAAAGGGTGGAACAAACGCACCCCGACACCCGCGAGTTTCTCCTCGTACAGAAACTGGAGACTGACAGAGCAGATCACCTGAAGATTAGCTCCCCCTATCCTATTTCACCTTAAGATTGATCACTCTAATATTACCTGGGGAAGTCAGGTTTCGGTAGGTTAGAGTAGGTTTAGTGAAATAAACTGGGGTGCCTAATATTCAAGTCAAATAAGATGGGGTGTCGAATATTT